ATTGAGAGCGGCAATAGGGCGTTTCTTCGTGCGGGAAGCTAGCAAAAGTTTGGTACGAATGGTGGGTTCAATTGGGCGTTGAGAGACCGTGATGTTCAACTGGTTGTGGGTGAATTCACGCAGCCCAATGACGGCAGACGGAGCGAGCTGATCCACTGGTGTGAACCCAAATTGCTGTGATCACAGATCATTCCCGAGACTCACGAACGCGGCGCGGATGGATTGATGGTTTTTGGCGGCTCAGGTGTTTTGGTGAATGGCACGCTTGTGTCCCTGTGATTGCGTATAATGAAGAAAAAGACGATTTCTCCATGATCATCTGTTCGACGGACGGCGGCAGCAGCTGAGTGCTTTCAAAGGGCATTCTTCCTGCGGACTCCATTGACCTTCTCATTGCCGAGTGGGAGCTTGGACAACCTCTCGTGATTACTCATTGCTATGGGAGTCGGTACTGCAGAGTGCACGAGTCACGTGACAAGGGGACAATGTGGGTGGAATTACCCGGGGCAATTGCAGGCGTTTGGGCCAGTTCACAATCGGGTCGTTGGGGCATGAGCTTGCGTGTGGGAGCCATTGTCACTGCGACCGTTGGAGGAAAGAGCGTCATGCTGTAGGCTCGGAAATTGAGCTCCCCGTGGTGGGAGAGTGAGGCCCATGCGCTCTACGTTTGGGTGACTGACAGCAACCGCGTGTTTTGTGTTGGACCGGCTTCTATGGACGCTGCTGTGAATAAGCCGATTGCCAACGCCCTGCTGTACTCGGATGGTGCGTTGTACCTTGTGGGAGCGAGACACAATGAAGAGAAAAGCAGCCTGTTTCCTGCCCCCCTGACAGAGGAGCTGCAGATGGTCACTTCCATCCTCCGTAATTTGGCGGACGTGGACGCTTCCTTCTCCGCGTCGCCCGTAAGTACGGTGGGTCTGGTTGGATATCTGTCTAACGCAGGCACTGCCAACACGTGTATCGACGAGTGCCGTTACGTGATTGCAACGGTGACGAATGGCAAGAATGTCACAAATGGGCTTCAATTCGCAGGGCAACATTGCCCCGTGAACCGTTGGGAGGATAATAATCGCTGTGGCTTTGTGAATTACAACTTCGCTCTTGTGGCGACGGTGGCTATTCGCGAGAAAAACGCAGGTGTCAAGAGTGTCTCTTTGATTGGCGTGAAGGGAGCAGGCTGCACTGTGCACTTTTGACTGTCGCACAGCCATGAAAGGAGTAGGGGGGTGATTTTCAACGCAAACAAACACACCGGCTTTTGGGAGTTGAACAAACAATAACGAGTGATGCTCACGCTGCAGGACCGGCAACAAGGCCTTCGTATAGATCAATGGTGAGTGTGTGTGGGATGCCGAAACGACATCACCATCGGGAAAGGGGCCACGCGCGAATTCACACTTTTAAATTGGAGGGGATGGAGTCAGTGCAAGCGACACCGGGAGACAAAACAAGTATGTGACAGTGACGAGTGTCTTTTTGTACAACCGCACATTGACCAGGGAAGAAGCCGCAAAAGTTGGTGCCAGCAACCTTGCTCTTCCAGAGTCTCTTTCTGGGAAAATGCTTGAAGGGCCGGATGATCCAGCGGGAACTGGCAGTGGCTCCAAAGATGGAAACGCTTCTCAGCTCACGAACAACACTTTTTTGGAGAAGGGCTCTAGTGGCTACGGCACCGTGCGTGTGTGTGTGCCTCAGATCTTGTTGCTCCTCTTACTGGAGCTGTGGGCATTGCAGCTCTCAGCTGTGTGAAACGGTGGGAGTGGAGCCGTGACCCTCCGTGGAAAAGAGTGTGCAGCTCCTCAGGAAGACTCAATGCACTCCGTTGAGGACTTTTTAAAATCCCTTTTGTTTTCATCTCTGGATATAATGTGCTGCTGGTGCCTTGTAGGAGGGATCAGAACCCCTGCCTTTTTACTATTTTTTAATTTATTTTTTGTTCGCCGCTAGCTGCACACTCTCATGAGTGACGTGTTTCCCCCTGTTTTATTTGCTTTTTTTGCACCGCACGCGGTGCCGGCCTCATTGCTGTGCACTCCCGCGGACTGTACAAAACGAGGGGTGGAGGAAGAGGCCGAGTGCTTCATGAAATGTGAGGGATTTCGTGTGGACACGTGGAACACTGCGATCTTTTTTTTTCTCTCTGTAAGAAACATATGGAAATGCACAATTCCTGCTGCGCTGAGGGATACATGAAATGAAAGTCTACTGAGGTGATTTCTTTTTTTTTTTTCTTTATTGTAATTAATTAATTATTTATTTATTTCTGCTGAACCTACGCCTTTTTTCTTGGTTTTCTGTATTTGGCAATTCGCTGCGGCTTGTTTTATTATTTGCTGTGTTGAATGCCACTATGTGTCTTTGTGTCCCATTGGGTGTCCCACTGCTAGCTGTGCAGTTGACACACCCTTATCACTTTTTCTTTCCTGCTAGAAGCATCGATAGTCCGCGACGACGATTGTTTGTGTTCCCCATTGCGATGGTACGAGGGTGACTGGGCGCCCTGATGAGTGCGCTCGGAGGGGAGCGGATGGTGTGCGCCGTGCCTCACTGTGAGTGTGGGACGCCACCGCCACGACCTGCTGTGAGGCGTAACGCTATTCCTTCGGGGCAGGGGTAAGTAAAGGACTGTGGTGGACTTGGATGCGCCTCGTTCCTCTTGTAGCGGCCGTGGGTGTGCTGTTCGCATTGCTGTTTTGCGGTACGATGTGGATGGCGGTGCTTCTACGTGTGCCTTCTTGAATGCACTGTGCGGCGGGCTTCTCTTCTCCATGTCCTTGCCCTTTTGTGTGTGGGGGTGAGTGTGGGTGGCTGTCGACCTGCCCCGAGCATTGGGGTCCTCCACACACGTGTGGCTCATCTTGGCAGCCTCTCGCAGCGTCCATGCCTCGTGACAGGGAGCGAGGGAAGAGTGGCGTGTTTCCTCCTACTATAGACCTATCAACTTTTGAGGAGTTGGAGTGAGGCGAAGGGAACAAGCGTGTGTGTCTTCACCTTCTTGCGGGAGGACGCGCAGCGGTTGTTTTTCTTTTGTTTGTTTTGTTATTGTGTCTGCGGTGACGTTAATGGGGAGTTTTTTTTCTCCAGAGGCATTCATTGTGCGACTTGTGCGTGCTTGGTTTCCAGCTTTTTCAGCACCGCCAAATGGGGTGTTGCGCAGGATCGGAATACATGGATGTGCGAGAGCATCGCATCGCTCGTCCGTAATAAGACACACGCACACAGTTTCATCGCGTCTGATACGTCACGTTTTTCAGACCGTCCAAAATCACTTGTGGGACATCACTTCATTTGCGGCGTCGGGACGGCGAGCGAAAGGGAAAGGGAAAGGTATGCCGACAACGCAATGCCACTCCATAAGACCGCGGGCTGGCGGCGACAATGATCAGAGAGCTTTCTACCCAACATTGAGAAGACGGCAGCACTCTGATGGTCCGGTTTTGATCTTTAGGAACCTCTAATGTAGTGTACACCGTGTGGGCCTTTTTGCTGCGGATATGCAGAGGGGTGATGTGGGGTGGAATTATTGTTGAAGGCAGCACGGACGCCGCATAGCCTTTATGGGAGGGATGAGTACTGTTATTCCGTGCTTTCTGGCCTGCGTTGTCACACTCATGCTGTGAGTGCGGATGGCCACAGTAGTGGAGCTGAATACGGTTCAATGTGTGTTGCTCACGGGGACTGCGCGACACATTTTTTTTGTTGGGCTTCCCAAAGGAGGGGCGCATCGCCGTTGCGTGCTTCCCGCGGCAGTCCATTACCCTGCGACTGTGCATGCCGCCGTCCACTGCGCCACTGCAAGCCTTCGCCTTTGTGAGAAATGGGGAGCGTGACTGCTGTGGCGGTGGTCGAATGCTCCCGAATTGGTGCTTTTGGTGATCCCACTTAGAGTGCCGAGCAGCGAGGGGCCGCACACGCCCAGGAGGTGGGAGTGTGTGCTGCAACCGCACTTGCGATTTGCAGTTGGGATGTGACATGTTTCTTTGGTATTTTTGTTTTTCGTGATACGCGGGGCAGCGGTGTGTTGGCGTGTGCGGGCTGCTCATGGCTGCCGGTGTTGTCTTTCCTGCTGTTCTCCCACTCAACTCCTTTGCGTGCGACGGACCAAACTTTTTTTACGGGTGTGTGGTGGGGTCGCGTTCTTGTTTGGAAAAAAAGCCTTCCGCAGGCATAATGAGATTGCCGTCCGTGCCACACGAGGCAGTGGGGTATTTCCTGGGATTTATTGGCGGGGTGGCACCGCACCCATGCGGTGTGGTAGGTTTGTATTCCGCAATGCACGGTGAGGGGGATGTGCGGTGACAACTTCCTCCAGTGAAGCGACACGAGCAGCACGGGGAGCGGAACGGAGGAGTGGTGGCTGCGTGCTTCCAAGTGATACGTGAATGGCGAATGCAATATGAAAGGCAGCGTCACGGCACTCTTTTGCCATGCACACCGCAAATATTTTTCATAAAACATGCAAATTGCACTCTTTTCTGTTGTGTGGGAACTTACTATGATGCATCGCTGTTGTGGCGTGTATGATTTGTGCTCCCTGCATGTGGCCGCTTCTGCACCGAATTCTCTTCCCACTTTTGTGTGCTTGTGTCAGTGGCGATGTGCCCACGTTTTCGTGCCGAGTGTGTGCGGTGACGGCGGCGCCACACGGGTGCGGGACTGTGGCGAGCGGTATGCGTGAGCGAACCCTCCGTGCCCACCACGTTGTTGTTGTTGGCTCTCACCAACACTGTGCTGGGTGGATGGCATCCAAATATCGTTTTGGTGGTCCTCGTGCATGTGGTGTGCATCACACACCGTGTGGATGACTCTCTTGCTGAGGCTGTCAGTCATGCCTGTGACCTTTGTCTCTTACTCTTATTCCTTTTTTTTGGTTAGTGGTCAGTGTTCGGCTTTATCTCACTCCAAATACGAAAACAGGTATATAATCGATTCTCACGCGGAAGAGAATAATAAATAGTCTTCTCTCAGGCGCGGAATTCAACGAAGGTGGCTGAAGGATGTACGTGCTGGAGGGACTCTACGAGTCTGTGTACAATGCGAGGTGGAGCCATGTCGTGGAAGTTCCTGACGGCGAGGGGACGGGAATGGAGGTGAAGGAGGGGAAACCACCGCAGTCATGGACGTACAAGAAAGTTGGCTACACTCTTGAAAAGGATGACGGTGAGGAGCAATCCGGTGCACTGCGTCTCAGGCTGATGGTGGTCACCTCGGACAGGGGATGGCCGTACTCGTGGGAACGGGTGGTGAATAAATCCACTCGTAGCTGCCATGTGAACTGTGAGGTGGAGCGAGTGTGGCAGATCGTCCTTGACGATTTAACCAATTGGTTCAGGAGTCGCGGTAAGAACAAACCTTCGTCCAATAAGCATGTGTTGATTGGGACGCCCGGGATCGGGAAGTCGATGGGCGCTGGCTCGTACCTCCTCTACCAGCTGCTGCACTACGATGCGGAGCAACTCCCAATGGTTGCGTACGTTATTGCGGATCGAAAATACCTATTTGACAAGACCACCAAAACGGTGAAAAAATACGGTGCGGCGTCTAGTATCGTGGATGTTTTGGACGGGTTTTCTGGGCGTGGGGTGAAAGGGTATATTATCTACGACATTGCAATGAAGGGTCATGAACCGTCTACTGGTTTGCCTTGCAAGGGATGGGGCATGATTGTGGTGACATCACCAGACAAAAACAACTACGAATCGTGGGTGAAGCAAATGGGAGCGGAACAAATCATAATGAATTGCCCCGAAGAAAACGATGTGAAGGCAATGTGCGTTTGGATGAAGCACAATGGGCAGCTTGAGGAGGAAGAAGCGGAGGAACAAGCGGACTACTGGAAAAAGGTGAAGGATCGCATGGATAAAGTGGGGCCGATTCTCCGCTTCATCTTTAATGAAAAAAAGTGTGAGGCTCGCTTTGTCGCGTGTGAAGTTGCCGTGGAAGCAATCACTCCTTCGATGCTACAGTATGACGCTGGTATTGGGAGTGGCAAATCGTGCGACGGCAATAATATGTCTCACAAGCTTCTGAAGGTTGTCCGAGTACGACGAAGAAACCTTGAATCGCCTTCTGAATATACTGATATCTCCCCA